TCTCTTTGATCACCTTTCTTTGGAATGGGTACAAATATGGATCTCTTCCAGTCAGTTTGCCAGGTAGCTGTCTTCCAAATCTCTTGGCATAGGTGAGTAAGTGCCTGCAGTGCCACATCCATTTATTGAAACGTCTCAGTGGGAATTCTGTCAATTCCTGGAGCCTTGTTTTTCACCACTTCCTTCAGTGCAGCTTCAACTTCCTCCTTTAGTACCGTCGGTTCTTGATCATATGCCACCTCCTGAAATGGATGAACATCAGCCAGTTCTTTTTGGTGCAGTGACTCTGTATTCCTTCCATCTTTTGATGCTTCCTGCATTGTTCGATATTTTGTCTGTAGAATTTTTCAGTATTACAACTCGAGGCTTAAATTTTGTCTTCAGTTCTTTCAGCTTGAGAAATGCAGAGAGTGTTCTTCCCTTTTGGTTTTCTAACTCCAGGTCTTTGCACATTTCGTTATAATAATTGACTTTGTCTTCTCGAACTGCTCTTTGAAATCTTCCGTTCGGCTCTTTTATCTTGTCATTTCTTCCATTTGCTTTAGCTACTCTCTGCTCAAGGGCAAGTTTAAGAGTCTCTTCTGACATCCGTTTTGGTCTTTTCTTCTTTTCTTGTCTTTTTAATGACCTCTTCCTTTCTTCATGTGTTACGTTCTCGATGTCATCCCACAGTTCTTCTGGTTTTCGGTCATTGGTGTTCAATGCATCAAATCTAATTTTAGGTGGTCTCTAAATTCAGGAGGGATGTAATCGAGGTCATATTTTGGCTCTTGTGGACTCATTTTAATTGTTTTCAGCCTCAACTTGAACTTGCATTTGAGCAGGTGATGGTCTGTTCCATAGTCAGCTCCTGGCCCTGTTTTGGCTGAAGATACTGAGCTTCTTCATCGCCTCTTCCCACAGATGTAGTCGGTCTGATGCCTGTGGACTCCATCTGGTGAAGTCCATGTGTATTGCCGTTGTTTATGTCGTTAAAAAAAAAAAAAAAAGGTACTTGCATTGGTCTTGCAAAATTCTGTCACGTGATCTCTAGCGTCATTTCTATCACCAAGGCCATATTTTCCAACTACTGATGCTTCTTCTTTGTTTCCAACTTTCACATTCCAGTCACTAGTGATAATTGATACATCCTGAGTGCATGTTTGGTCAGTTTCACACGGCAGAAGGTGGTAAAAATCTTCAGTTTCTTCCCTTTGGCTTTAGTGGTTGGTGTGTAAATTTGAATAACAGTAGCATTAACTCATCTTCCTTGTGGGCGTATGGGTATTATCCTATCACTGACAGCATTGGACTTCAGGACAGATCTTGAAACGTTTTTTGTGATGATGAATGCCACGGCATTCCTCTTTAATTTGTCATTCCTGGCATAGTAGACCATACAATCATCTGATTCAGAATGGCCAGAACCAGTCCATGTCAGCTCACTAAGGCCTATGACATTGATCTTTATGTGTTCCATCTCATTTTTGGCAACTCCCAGTTTTTCCAGATTCATCCTTCATATATTCCATGTTCCAATGACAATGGATGTTTGCAGCTGGTTTTTCCCATTTTGAGTCAGAAGAAGGAAGGAGCCATCCACGTCTCAAAGAATTGGCCAGTGAAAACCTATGAACAGCAGTGGAACTGTCTGATATATCACCAGAAAACCTGATGAACAGCCCTGAGACGCTGTCCGATGTAGTGCCGGAAGACGACCCCTCAAGTCAGAAGGCCTAAAATACTCCTAGGGAAGAGCTGCCACCTCAGAGTAGAGCCGACCTTAACGGTGTGGAGGGAGTAGAGGTTTGGGACCTCTGTTTGCGGATGTGGCGTGACTCAGAATGAGAAGAAACAGTGGCTCATTGTACTGTCCACACTGGTTCATCAGTGGCTGTAACCACACCCCAGGTCTGTGGATGGCGATAGCAGAGGGAGAAGCGGGGGGGGGGGGGCACGTGGGAACCCTGCAGTTTCTGCCGTTTTTCCGTAAACCTAAGTGACTCTGGAAAATAAAGCCTATGATTTAAGAAGGTGACAGGCAGTTGCTGGCCCAGTGAGAAAGCATGGGCAGCGGAGGGCCTGAGCACACCGTCCCAGAGGACACCGTCTTCTTCCGGCAGCGCGAGCTGCTGCTGGATCTGAGGAGCGCGTCTCCTGCGGGAGAACTGGGTCAGACAAGGCGGGGGATTATGTCTTGGGAGGGCCCTCTCCTTACTGCACGCTTAAACCCCATCTACTGGAAAGCCTGCCACGCGCCTAATCCTCCCAGGTAGAGGCCGGGATTCTTGCCCACTTTAAAGATTAGGGTGGGGGCCGGGAAAAGGAGATTACCCCGTGATTCGCGGCAGCTGTTACCAGAGGCCTGGAGAGGGGTGCAGACACCCCTGGCCGGTGGCATGGAGAGGGCCCTTACCATGTCACTTAGCGTGTGGGCACATGTGGCCCCCACAGGCCTTCACTGTCCCCCCTTGGAGTCACTCTGGCCTGAGGAGCCAGTCTCAGCCACCTGGGGTGCTCCCCTCCAAGCAAAAGAAGGGGTGAGTGTCCTCAGACCAGGCTTTGGCCCCAGGGGGCTGCCCACACTGACCTGTGAGCTGGGGAGCCTGCGGGGCCTGGCCACACTCTTGTGTGAAGACAGACCTCGTGAGGGCGCACTGCTGATTAAGGCCGATTCATCCTGCCCTGAAGCATGGGGTTGTTTTTTCTAATTATTTTGCTGCGTTTCTTTTAATGCGACGTCTGATCCGTTTTAATCTCATGGCCCCATCTTTGTGCTCTCCCTCTATCCCCGATTAGTTGTCTGCACTAAGGCGCTGGGCCCAGGCTGGCCACCTTCCCCGGGGCGTCTCTGGGTCTTCTGTTCATGAAGCAGCCACAGCTGCCTCTTGCCTTGGGACCGGCCCCTCGGGCGCCGCGCTGTGTTCCTCCACAGGGGCTGCTTCACCTGCGCCGTGTGCCTCCCAGGTGCAGTCCGCCCTCTCACAGGTGCCCCGCCAGCCTGCAGCCCTGCCGTCGTCCAGAGGGGCACGGGGGCTGCCTGGTCGTGGCCACTGCTTCCCCACTCACGGAAGGCCGTCGGCGACTCTGGCTGGCGGCCACAGTCACACTGCGCTCTTACGCAAGCTCAGGGCCAGCAGAGCAGAGTTCAGGCATGTGGCCGCTGTGGCCACGGCTCCTGCCTTGGGGCTGCTGGTGGGGCCAGTGCAGAGGATCTCTCGACGGCCCCTCCCCAGGAACACTGCCGGGCCACACCAGACGGAGCTGACCGGAAGGTGCGCCACGTACCCACTCACGAGGGGCTGGCGCTGGCTCCTGCCGGCTCCCAGCTCAGGTTTAAGACTGCAGTCTCAGTACACTTGACCGCTGGACCAGCAGGCCTCTGGGGCCTGGCTGTTCCCACAGCACCGACAGTGTTCGTTCTCTGCAGGTTTTGAAGGCAACCCCCAGGCGGTCCTGCAGACCATGAGGAGGTACATCCACACCTTCTTTGGGTGCAGGGAGTGTGCCGAGCATTTTGAGGCGATGGCACGGGAGTCCCTGGACGCGGTGAAGACCTCCGACCAGGCAGTGCTATGGCTCTGGAGGAAACACAACGTGGTGAACAGCCGCCTGGCAGGTGAGGCCCCACCCCCGTGTCGGCTCAGTGAGTGGGTCAGCCAGAGGACAGGGCCCTGTCCCACCTGCGGGCGAGCAGGGAACCAAGGCCTGTTAGCCACCGGGGCTACGTCAGTGTGACCAGGGGACAGTGACCTTCTCAGGGGGCTGTTGGAAACCAAGCACATGCCAGTGCAGGGGCCACAGCAGGAGGCCGAGGCTGTGCAGCCAGACCTCCAGGCCACCCAGCAGGGAAGGTGTGGGGCAGAGCCGGTGCCCAGCAGGGAAGGTGTCGGGGCTTCACGGGTCAGCCAACAGGGAAGGTGTCGGGGTGGAGCTGGGCGGAGCCGTCACCCAGCAGGGAAGGTGTCGGGGCGGAGCCGTCACCCAGCAGGGAAGGTGTTGGGGCTCCACCACAGGTCAGCCAACAGGGAAGGTGTCGGGGTGGAGCTGGGCGGAGCCGTACCCAGCAGGGAAGGTGTCGGGCCGGAGCCGTACCGGGCCCTTTCCCACCTGTCAGCGAAGCTTTTAGAGCACTAGTCCTAGGAAATGTCATGTGTCCTCACTGTCCCCTTGCCGGAGCAGAGTCCACCCTGGGAGGCTGGAATTTAATAGGTTCTCAGTGAGGAATTTCACCGTCATTAAAGTCACTCTCAAACCGTAAATCAAATTCATCAGAGTGATTTTTTACAAAAAAAATAAATAAATAGGGCCACGTGTCTTTCCTTAGAATTTAACAAACTATTCGTAAATCAACGGCAGATTAAAATTAGGCTTAAAAATAATTCCAGTGAAAAATAAATCTTAATAGACATGAAAAGAAAATTCCCCTAAACTCGTGGTTTTTATTCAATCCACTGCTTCACAAAACGCCCTCCAGCTCCAGCACCAAGGGAGATTGGTCTGTCTGTGCGTGTGGCCGCCACATGCCGTGGGTGCCGTCCGCGTCCGCCTCCAGCCGTCTCTGTCCCTGGGGCTGGGGTCGTAAGGTGCTTCCAGGATGGCCCCCGTGAGAGCACCCTCCACCTCCAAAATGTGTCTCAGACCCCCGTCCTGGCGCCCAGGGCGGCCACTCCCAGAGCCACATCCAGCCCGTCCATGCCACCGCGCAGGGGGCACTCCTCCCTCCCATTGCCCAGGCCCTCCCCTCGCTCCCCAGGCGCCGAGCTCTCCGACTCCGTCCCTGTCTGACTGGATTTCCTGTCCCGCTGTCGGCGTTTTGTGCTGCGGCGTTACGAGGACTCCGTGTCCGGCCCTCGGCCTGTGTCTTAGCTCTCTAGCGCTGCTGTAACAGGAAGTACCGTGAGTGGACTGCTTTAACGCAATTCATTCTCTAAGGTTTAGGAAGCTAGGAGTCTGAATTCAGAGTGCTGGCTCTAGGCAAGAGTAGGTAGAAGTCCAAGTTCAGGGTGCTGGTTCTAGGGCAAGACTTTCTCTCTGGGTTCTGGGTGGAGGCCCCTTGAACTCGGGCTGCAGCTCTGCCTTCCAGGCCCATTGGAGCCAGCTGCTGGCTGCTGGGGCTAATGAACCCAAGATGGGCACATAAAATGGAACAGCCCGAGACTGGCAGGCAGCACAGCAGGTCACTGGTTCGAGTCCAGGAACCGGAGATGAGGAGGGGCCAAGTGCAGAATGCTGTGTGTGTACTGGGAGCCGGTCACAGGCTGAAGGCAGCTCCCCTCCACTGACGAACTGCTCACAGCCGATTGCCCATGGAGCTGACTGCACCACGTGCAGCCTCAGCCTGGGGGGAACCACATCGCCGCCCAGCCTCTGCCTCACAACCCCGTGAGCTGACACACACCTTACTGCCGCAGTCTGTCTGACTGGGGTCCTCAAGTCTCCTGCCAGATGGCAGGCTCCTGAAGACAGACGCTGCCCTTGTCGGTCTCTTATCCCGGCCCACACAGAAGGGATGCATCAGTGTCCTCACCAAGAGCTTACCTCTCAGCTGTCTGAGGCTGCGAGCTGCACGCTATACAGAGCTGAGGGGCGTGTTTGTCATGTGCACGGTTAGCAGAGACCCTGAGCCAAATGGTCAAGTGGGCGGCTGTCCCAGCCCCGTGGGTGAAGGAGGACAGTGGTTCAGTGAGGACCATGGCAGCACGGCTGCCACCTGGCATGGCGTAGGGACTGTGTGAGGCACGCGGCCTGGGCTCTCGTGGACTGTCTGCACCTCCACAGTGGTGGTCGCCAGTGTTCACTGATGGCAGGAATAGATGGACAGATAGGCAGGGTGAGAAGGATGGCCTCTGGGTCTGCCGGGCATGTGCGACGGTACGATTTCTGAGGTGGTTTAGCAGCAGGTTCTCAAGCCCTTAGACACATGAGCCTTCCCACCTCTTGTGTGACCTCCGGCCCCGGTCAGGTAAGTGCGGAGCTGTGTGCGAGGATGTCCACTGCACAGGTGTTCACAGACTCCAACCTGTGGACCGGCCCAGCAGACAGGGTGACAGGTCAGGACGCTTTGGTGGTCAGAGGGCACAGGGTTGCTTTGCATCTGTGACCTGGACACCCGCAGCTGGATGAGACCCTGTGGCCTCTGGGCTGTGACAGGCCTCTTTCTGAGAGAGCGTGTGGTTTGCGTGGGGAGGGAGCAGCTCTCCCCTGGGGGCCGTGAGCAGAAGGCCTCAGTTTCCCCCACAAAGAGCATCCTGATGGGGTGGTCAGGGCCTGGGGCAAACACAGCATGGCCTTGAGGTGCCCCTTCATGGAAGAGAGGACAAGCTGAAGGGAGTACTGTTGGGGACGGCCTGGCAGGGGTGGGGAAGTGGAGTAGGAGAGCCCAGCGGGAGTCAAGAATGGGGAGGACCGCTCCCAGGTGGCGGGGCTGGGTGGGCACGGGGTGGGCTGGTGCCCACAGCGTGCTGCTCAGGCTGACAGGCAGGTCTCCCATCGACTTCCCCCTTTTCTGCAGGCCATCTGAGTGAGGACCCCAGCTTCCCCAAGGCCCCGTGGCCCAGCCCAGACCTCTGCGCTGCCTGCCACGAGGAAGTCAAGGGCGTGGACACGTGGCAGGAGGGGCAGGTGCTTGCCTTCCTGAAGTGGCACTACAGCCGCGCCAACGTCCTGGACACATACTCCTCAGACCCCGGGGGTCCCCAGGAGGAACAAGAGAAGGGACGCCCTGCCCCTCGGGAGTCCTGGGGCAGCCAGCACCCCGGTAGTTTCCGTCCACCAGACGCACCGGGCCCCCGCCCCCACCTGTCGGAGAACTTGCCCCGCAGAGTGGACGTCAGGGCCCAGAGCCCGCACGGAGTCGAGGCCCGCGTGGAGCCTGCCGCCACGGTGCCCACCCTCGGGGCCGGTTTCTCTAGCCTGGACATGAGCCTCTGTGTCCTGCTCTACGTGGCCTCGTCCCTGTTCCTCATGGTCATGTATTTCTTCTTCCGCGTGAGGGCCAGGCGGTGGAGGGTCAAGCACCACCCCCCCGCGGTGTAGGGAGTCTGCCCACCTGCCCGCACAGCTTTCAGTCACCGGCAGGGATTTCTGAGCACCTGCGTCGGGGGCCGTGGGGTGCTTAGAGGAGCGTGTGCACCCCGGGTTTCCCCAGTGTGCCTCTCCGGGCTTGTCCAGAAAGCTCCTCTCGGCTTCATGGGTCTCGATCAAAGGTCAGGTGAGCGGCAGGCCAGACGAACAGACTGCCTGCTCAACGTCTCCGTTGACACACAGCTCGTGACATTCCAGGGCCCTTGGCTGTCCGCTCACGCGCAGCTCCCCACCCCGTGCCAGAGGGGAGCTGGTGCCCCCTGCTTCCCAGACCGTCTTATATGTGGCGACATGAACATGGCGCTCTCTGACCTGTCTGTCCGGTTTGTGGGGTGCTTTCCTGTGGCTTGATTTTCCAAGGAGGCCACGGGGTGAGGGCGGGGAAGGAGCCTGGGCACTCCCATGGCCTTACTGCACGTCGGGCGGTCGGACCCGGTGCCCTGGTCGGGGCAGGAGGGGCCGGTTTCTCCTTCCTGGGTTTCCCGTGTGCATCCATGTCTGCCCACCTGTGGAGCAGCTGTGTGTGGGAGAGAGGAGCCCTCTGTCGTATGATGCCTGATGAGGCCCCTAGAGGTCCCACTTGGTACAGAGGTTGGAATGGAACCATGGGCTTGGGAACTAGGGGCCGCCTCCACCGTTGCAGCCAACCCAGGGCTTCTCCTTTCTCCCCGTGTAACGTTTAAGCATGTCATCTGTAAAGCCGGGAAGCCTTCAGTGGTGAGCCTGCATCTGGGGACCGCGGCAGAACTGACCCGGCCTGGGAGCGGTTCAGGAGATGCCTGGCGGTCAGCCCATCTCCTTGTCAGTCTGTCTCCCCGACTTCCTTTCATTTGGGTAAACGGTTGCGTGTGCTAGTACCGTCTGGGCTTGGTGTGTGTGCGTGCAGACATCTCACTGTGGTATTTATTACAAGTTTTCCAGTTTGTCTTACCCTCACATGTTCACTAAAGCTGACCAGGTGGTCAGCGCACACGGCCACGCAGTGCAGGTGTGAGTGCCGCCGCCTGGGGAGACCCCGCCGCTGCCTCCTGAACCCGCTCTCCAGCTTTCACTTCCTCTTCTGGGGCTCACAGCGGAGGCCAGTGGGGCCGGATGCCGGAGGGCCCTGGGGCCGGCAGCCTCGGTTCTCGGCCTCAAGGTGCGTTTCCTCTTTCAGGCTGGATGCTGGTTTAAGCCCGGGAACCTGCTGTGTTTCGAGCAGTCCAGGCTTGGCCTGTAGCAGGCAAGGACCAGGTCCCTGAGACACTGGCCACTGTTCTTTCCACTCGAACACATGGGTGTACCCCGCCCAGAGGAGACGGGCCTCGCGCTGCAGGGGTGGCTGTTGGCTGTGTCCGCCCCTTGTTTCCTGGGGGCGGCCTTTGCAGACAGCCCATTGGAAGTGCGCCAGTGGCTTTGCCAGCTCCCGGGGCTGCTGCTGCGGCTGGAGGTTACCCTTTTGGGGGGATGAGCTTGTGACTTCCTGGGGGGGCCGGTTGGCGGTAGATCCTTCGTGGGCAGCATGGCCTGGGTCCTCGTGTTGCCATCACAGGAAGGGGACTGAGTGGGGGCAGGGGAGTTCATGGGCGCATAGGAGCACAGACCTGGGTGCCGCCTGCGGGCACGCTGAAGGTAGATTTTCCAAATTTCTGAGAATTTTAAAAGCTGTCTATCGAAACTGGTGAACATCATAGTAACATGCGTGTGTGTTTATTTTCACGGGAGGATTTTGTTAAAAACGCCAGTTGGCACAGACTGGGGGCTTTCTTTCCTATGAGGCCAGTGACCATTTTGTATTTAAATGAACATTAAAATGTGCACATTTTTGAAATAAAGAAGTCTGACATTGGAAAATACTGTAATTCTTTTGAAAAAAAACAGCTCTGGCCACCACCGGGTGGGGCGCTAGGGACACTGCTCTCCCTTCTGGGGTTTGTGGACCTCGGAAACTGCGCTTTTCTTTGGTTAAAGCAGAAACTTTCTGGAGGACAGCCCGGGGTTAGGTGGCAAGTGAGAGATGGGGGTCGATGAGGGATGACTTCTGCCGGGCAGCTGTTCACAGGCGAGAGGGTGTGGGAGGGGAGGTGGCCGGCAGCCAGGAAGCTCCAGAGGGGCCTGTGTTAGGGGGCACCCGGGACCCCAGGGGAAGCCGCAGTCCCCCACTCTTCTCTCAGCACTCAGCTTGAGTCCTGCCCGGCAGGGCTGTGGCCACCTGTGCAGTGCTGTGTCCCCAACACTCCCACTTTTCCAGTGGAGAGGGGGCCCCACTTTTTGTGGCCTGGGAGGAAGACCGATCAGCTGCAGGCTCTGTGGATCTGCCTTCGCAGCCTCGGTGGGAAGGAAAAGGGGTCCTCTGCCCAGGACCACCGGCGAGTGGGCCAGGGTGGAGGCCAGCATGGCAGTGTCCCCGGGGCTCCACCAGGCCCCAGGGCCCTGAGGAGCCAGGGCTGCTGGGCTGGGCAGTGCCGCACCCTGCGGGACAGAGCCGGGCAGAGCAGGGAGGTCTGACCTGGCCCTTCCTGCTGGCAGGGCCTGGCCTGAGCACGGCGGCGGGAGGCGGGGTGGGGAAGGTGAGTGTGGAAAGTTCCGGCCGCAGCAGCAGGTGGATCTGAGCCGAGTCGGGGAGGGGGACCTCGGTGTGGCCTGGAAGGCTGCCAGGCCCGGCCGGCCCGCCTGCAGCCTAGACGTGGCGCCTTCCTCTGGTGGCCTTGGGCTTGGGGTGGAGCGCGCCTGGCGCCCCGGAGCTGCGGAGGGAAACCACCTGGTGCAGGGCGGTGCTTCCGCGGCCGGCTCCCTGCCTGGGCGGAGGCGGCGGCCGCGACTGGGGAGGGGGTGGGGTCGGGAAGGGGCGGGGGCGCGAAGGACACAGTCCTGGGAGCGGGGGTGTGGTGAGGTGGGGGCATGAGGCCGGGGAGCCGGGCGGAGGTCAAGGGTAGGGAGTAGGGGGAGGGAAACGGAAGGGGACGCGACGGGGAGGCGGCCGGGGGTGCAGGGGCAAGGAGGTGGGGGCCGCAAGGAAGGCTGCGTGGGGGGCCGGGAAGGAAGGGGGCAAGGGTCGGGAGGGGGCGGGACCGGGGCACCGGCGGGCGGGCGCCTCCTTCAGCACCGCGGACAGCGCACGGCCCCGTGGCCTTGGAGCCAGTCGGAGAGGGCGCCTCCGAGGCACCGGAGCTCGCGGGAGCGCCAAGCCCTCCGCGGACGCGGAGTCAGAGGCGGGAGCGAGTGGCTGAGCACCTGGACCCCGGCCCCACAGCCACCATGCTGCTGGAAGCAGAGCTGGGGCGTGGGCGAGAGCGGCCCGGGGCCCCCGTGGCCGCGACCGTCTGCACCTTCAGCGGAACTCGGGGTAAGAGACCCTGCTGCTCGGCTCATCCCTGTGGGCCCGAACCCCAGCCCAGGGTCTGAGGGGGAGAAGGGCAGGGGCGACGGCCTGAAAGCAGGCAGAAGAGCAGTGACATAGCGGTGGGACGCCTGGGACAGCCCTGAGTCGGGGCAGGGCCTCTGTGCTGGGGGCCTAGTGTGGGGCTGTGGATTGAAGCCCCTGGGCCCCCATGTCGAGAGAGACAGAATGGGATGGGAGGGACAGGCCGCAAGGATGCCGCTGGGGGGGCACAGACGGGAGCTGCCAAGTCCCGCCACCACCCAGCGCCCCTCAGCTCCTGTGTGTAGCCAAGCCAGTCCTCACCAGCCTGCCCAGCCGCTGGATCGAGGGACACTGCCGGCCTCCTGCCTGAACCATACTCCCCAAGGGCCGGTCCATTGCTGGGGAAATAATGGAGCATTGTTGACGCTCCGGCCAGATGCCCAGAGCCCCTGCTTCCCACCAGGGCTCCAGCCCTTCCCGGCAGGGACGGGCCACACACATGCTCCAAAGCCATCGACACGCAAGGACTAACACCCTGTGGCCAGCACCCACTGAAGCCTTGACCTGCCACTCCTGGGGTGCGGTGTGACTTCCGCGGCCTGCTTAGAACAGAGACATGGGGACTGCATGCTTCTGCCCCCTCTGTCCATCCAGGGAGTCCTTGGCCACGGGTTTTGCAGGAGGCCCAAGACAGGACCAAGACAGGTGGAGGACCTGGAGGATGGGATGGGCCTGTGGGTCTGCAGCACTTCCTGGGGCTCCTGACCCATGCAAGGGTTCCCTGCCCACCTCCCGCTCCTGGTGAGGAACAGCCAGGCTGCTTGTGCGAGGGCGGTTGGGTCGGGGGCCTGCCCGAGTGGGTTTGGGGCGATGTTAGGAAACCAAGCACAGGATCATCCACGTGCTGAAAAGAGCGGGGGACTAGGTGCCCAGTTGTGGGGGAGCCCCAGTGCTAGGGCAGGAGACAGGAAATCAAGAGTCGGTCGGGAACTTCCTGGCTTGGCCCCTCCTGACCCTGAGCCTTGGCTGTGGGTCTAGGCCAAGACACTGGGCCAGTTCCCCTCCGGCTACTCGCCCTCCTTCCCTGCACCCAAGTGGAGAGCTAGCGGTCCCCGCGGTGGCCCAGAGGCTGGTTCCATTCCAGCCAGGAGGCCGGGATCAGCTCAGCCGGCTTCGTGGTGAGGCCTGGACGCCACACTCACCCTCTTCTTTTGGGGCGCTGTCACCAAACCTCACAGCTTCGGCTCCCCCAGGCCGAGCCTCCGCCGCAGCCAAACCCGGCTCCCTCCCGAACCTCCTCTCGGGACGCGGAGCGCCCCA